AAAAGCGACTAAAATGGTTCTTAGAAAAGTATCCTCTAAGATGAAGGGAAACACTTATTTTGAACTGAAGTCTGCTTCTAAATCTGACACTTTTCTGTTGCCAGATATCTTTTTAAAAATAAGTCCAGACAAGAAATGAACATCAGCTGTTTTAGAAGGTACAAATTCATAATAAAGTAAATAATTGATTTAGGAAAGGGAATACTTTTTTGAGTTAATCCATGCTGCCATAAATTTCTAGGATCTGAGATTTAAACACAGAATTTCAAGTGACAAAATTTCTGTTTCTAATCCATTTAAATGGATGACAGAACAAGAAGAACGCTTACAAATTGCTATTTGAAGGATGCCTTTAGCTGTTAGGCCCCGAGATGCTTTTTGAAATTCTGTGAACCGCAGCCATTGCACAGCAGAGCTTCCTTTATAATAAGCTCCTTATATTCCACAACAACTTCAAGGTGTTGTGCTTTTACTCATGGTTTCATGAGTCAAGCAGCTGTATATATAATCTTTAAATGATTTTAACTTAAAAACATTCTTTTAGGTCTGTAAAAAAATTTAAATAGCTCAACATAGTTTCCTTAAAACCAAAAATGAGAATAAAATATTTGCTATGCAAAGATTCAGTTTCTATGTATTTTTTACTTTTATGTTTTTACTGAGTTAAGGAAGTATTATGAACCTAAAAAAAGGCAAAAAAAAAAAAGCAGAATATTATACATTAATCTTGAAGTATTCTTCTCATTACAAATTCTTCATTCAGGTTTATGTCTTCTTGACCTTTATCTAATTATCTAGCCTGAGGAAAATATTTTCCTTCTTTTTCTCCTTTTCCCAGTGTGTGTATATATATATATATATATGGATATACATTTCCCGAACAATGCACATCTGATAGCTCTCTTTTCCCTTGTTTTTTTTTTTTATGAATACCTTGCAAATTTTCTATAACCTTAGTGAAATGAAAATTGAAAAAAAATGTTATTTTACTCTTCATTTTATATGGTGCCTAATAAGGACATTCTTATACCTGCCTGTTATAACTATTGGAAAGGATTCATAAAAACCACAATGTCGTACTTTAATTTCTCTAAGTAAAATCTTAAGTGAATCACCCTAATATTAAAGAAAATAGAACATTATAATTTAACTTAAAAAATTTGTATTGTTTAGATTTTCAAAATATTAAGCTAGGGTTTCAGTCAACTGTTAAAATAGGAGTTTCTTCTACAGTTTTTCCAGACTTCAGACACATTCAACCAATGACTGTAGATAATAGAGTTTAACTGCCCAGTCAAAATAAAACAATGATCTAGATCTACATTGTCTGACACAGTAGCCACCAGTAAAATGCAGCTATTTAAATTTGAATTAAAATTAAATTACAATAGTTCCTCAGTCACACTAGTTATATTTCAAGTACTCAATAGCCACAATGTGGAGAGTGACTATTATGTTGGACAGTGTAACTAGAGAACTATTCTGAGATAGCAGAAATTCAGCTGGGCACTGATTCCTAGACTTTAGTTCAGCCCTAATTCTCAACATCTCTTCATTGTGTCTCTTCAATCCCCATCATACTGGAGTCTTGCAGACCCTTATTCTCTACCTATACCATTTGTTTTCAACTTAGGGTAATTTTGTCCTGCAAGGGACATTTACAACATCTGAAGATATTTTTTTTTGTCACAGTTGGGAGCAGAGGAGCTATGAGCATGTTGCAGGTAGAGGCCAGGAAGCTGCTAAACATTATGCAATGCAGAGTACATCCCTCTCCAGCAAAGAGTTGTGTGTCAATAGTGCCAATGCTGAATTTGATACATATTCCTTTAAATTGTTGTCATATAAGGCAGGTTCCATGCTTTTTTTTTTTCTCACTGTGATACACACACACACACACACACTTAAGAATACAGGGAGATCTAAAAGAAAGGTAATGTTAGATGAATAAATCAAGATACAGAATAGCATAAATGATATAATTCTAGGTATTTGATGACAAAATGTTGTGAATATGTACATAGTAGGTTGTCAATATGGGTTACCTAAGAGAGTGTCATTGTCAGAAGAAAGGACAGAAGAAAAGATAAATATGTAAAACTTATGACTTATAATTATGGTGAAAAGTTCTATTTTAATCATTTATATGATGGAGCATGTAAGAACTAGCTCAAATAAAGCCAATGAAAGGAAAGCTGTAAGCATGTGAAGACTCTATTATGCATGTGAAGACTCTATATTAATTTAGTATTTGCATTCTAGAAGAGAAAGAGTTAATAAGTGAGAAAAACAATGCAGTTTCATACAGTGATAAGTCTTCTGAAGAATATTAACAATTAGGAAATAGGTAAGGGGAGATAGTCCTGAGCTCAGGAAAGATGTCAGGGCTTGGAGAAGTAAATTTGGGATTCATCCAGGTACAGATAGTATAGAAAGCAACATGATTAGATGTGGTGTCCTAGAGAGTGAGAGTAAGGAAGAGAGAGTTGAAGACTGAATGCTGACATCTATAAAATAAAACATGGAAAAGGAGACCACAGAGATGAATGAGACAGAAATCACACCAGAAAAGAAAAAGGAGCATTGTCTTTAAACATTATTGTTGAGGGAGATGAGGACTAAGGGTTTACCTATGAATTAAGCAATGAGAAGCCTGCTGGTGATATTCACAAGAACAAGAGAAGTCAGGTGGCAAGGATAAAAGCCTGTTTGTGATAAGCCAAAAAGGGTAGAGTGGAAATAATGGGACAACTCTTTCAGAGTTTTACTGTAAAGTCTGTTGCAGAGGTGGTGCAGAGAAATAGGAAAATGAATGAAGAGGGGCAATGGGATATGATATGGTTGAATGTTTTTGTCCCATCCAAAACTGATGTTGAAACTTAATCCCAAACATAGCAGGATTAAGAGGTGTGGCCTTTAGGATGTGTCAGTCTCATCTCATGAATAGGATTATAAAAGGGCTTGACAGGAGTTTATCCCTCTTTGGATCTTGCCACCATGAAAGGATATGGTGTTTCTCCCCTCCGAAGGATTCAGCAATAAGGCACTATTGTAATGCAGAGAACAAGGTCTTTCAGACACTGAACCTACTGGCACCTAGATCTTGGACTCCAGAGCTGTGAGAGATAAATGTCTATTCTTTATAAATGACCCAGTCTCAGGTATTTTGTTATAGCAGCACAAATGGAAGAAGACAAAATCAATGGAGGCTTTTTGAAAAAGGTATTTATCAAATCATGTTTGTATGTAGATTCTAATAACCAGTAGAGTGAGGAAAACCTCTGATACAAAAGAAAGAGGAGGGATCATTGTAAGAGAAAACTCAACAAGAAATGTGAAAAAAAAGTATCTGACATGTAAGACAAGGGTTAGGCCTAGGTTAAAGAAGAAACAACTAGATAGGTGATTATCCTTGAAACACTCATCAATATATCATGAGAAAGTGTTTCTTCCTAAGAGTAAGTAGTATTTGGAGTTATTCCACTGCACTTGATTAAAATCAGTATGGATTTATATCACAGCATCTGTGGCATAGCCAAAGATCCACAGCTTGCAACTCCAGTCAAGAAAACAATGAATTTGCATGATGAGAGACACCCTCTACATTCTCTATACATCCCCTGTTATCTGTATTCCCTAAAATTATAGACTAATGATGATGAGGAGATAAATAAGTTAAAGGCATAAGTAAATTAATGGAGTGATGTGCATTTCTAAGAAAATTGCCATTTAAAAAAACACAAAATCTGAGGAATGCCTATTCATGTTTTAGAAGAAAAGAGAAAATTTATATTTAAATCAGAAAAACTTCATTCTTATAATATTTACAAATAAATGACATTTCTACTATAATAGCTATTTTAGCATGTAGCAAGTAAGATATAATCTTAAAGTTGCTGATAATCAATGCATTCCTCATTTTCTTAAAACTCATGCTTACAAGGACACCAGCATGTTTTAAGATTCATCTGAAATGAGGAAAAGAAAAGCCTCTCTGTTCTTGGACTTTTTTATGCTTAAAACTAGGGATTTCTTGAGCCTTGCCAACACAAACAGGACACAAATAGCAGCTAGAAATATAGCAATCTTTTGCCACCAGTTTGTAATAGCAAGTGTTAGAGAAAGCCAAGATTTTTTCAGTATCTATAAATGCAAGTACAAAACTATTCAACCAAAAAGTTCGTGTAAACCTGTTAAATACAGAAATAATAAACAAATTTTTAATAAAATCAACTTCCTTCTATATATAATCCTCTTATCTGCAATTATGAATTAAGCTACATTTACTTGTATACATAATTTTGTACTTACAAAGACAAAAATATACAAAGATAGCTTTCAAAGATGTCTGAAAATATTAGACTTACAATGTTTCTATGACATCTACTTTCTCTACATATCTAGCTTTCTTCCTATCAAGAACAATAGGCTGATTCAGAAATCTTTAATGAACCCAGGAGTAAGAGATCATGATCTTTCCTTTCTTAACAACTGAATAAAGTAGCTCAAAATCAGAGCAAAATATTGTCTTACTCAGCAATATTGTTCTGGTAAAATTTTTTTAATATCTAGTGATTCTTAATTGAAACTTGTCTTTTACATAAAAGAAAAACATCCAAATTAATATTTTGATCATATTTAAATGCTTAGTCAGAAGACTGATGGCCCAAGGAATCAAAGCTAGAAAATATTATCACCAAAACCAAACTGTACTGATATAACACATATTTTAAGTTCAGCGAGCAAAACATGAATTCACTTGAATTTTATAACCATTATCTGCTGATAAATCAGTCTAACACCTTGGTTTTGAACAAAGTTTTGTATTAAAAAATAGTGAAGTGGATAATATAATATGAATACATAGAGAAAAGTTCCCATAGAAACAGGCAGATTTTAAAAACTGACACAAGAGTTAAGAGTTAGTTGTCATTTTCATGCATTCTGACTCATTTTTTGTGTGTGGTATTTTTCTTATTTAGTCAAATTGAAAGGCTTACCATCTTGCTGGCCATGAAGAGTCTGGGGACTTTGCATTCTCTCTTCAAGATTGGAGCTAAGATCAGAGTTCACAGCTGACATCCGTGTTGAATCACTCATGTCAAATTCATCACTTTCTATTGAACTTTCATCCTGAAAATAGTTTTAAAATATCATCAAGCATTTTTAAATATAATATATTTAAATAATAACCATTTTATCTACTCTGTCAATTGGAGTTTATCCAGTAAGTTTATACGGAATTCAGAAAAGTATGTTACAAACTAATAGATGTTTAAAATAACAAATAATAGAATAATTTCTCCCTTCAAGGAATTTCAAGACTAGTGAAATAATATGTCCCAATGTACATCAACTTTTTAAAGGTAAAATATATATATTTAAAGACAGTACAGTTTAGGAATTAGCCTGTATAAAGAATGAATTTTATAGTAAATAACTTCTAAAAGAGTTAATCATTAAATATAACATAAATAGAAATACAAGTTTTGGTTAAAAACTAAATGACCAAAAAATGTAACAAGGAAAAAATCTTAGAATGTAAAAAGAAAGGGCCATATAAAATTTTTTCATTGGCAAACAGGATAGATCCTAATATAGCAAATTTACATATTAGGTTCAAAGTCCACATGTAATGGAGAGCAAGGTAAACTTAGTATACCCTTTCTTTCTTTACTAGCAAATATAATTTGCACGGCAACCACAAAAAGGAGATCTAGGTAAAATTGTGCATGGAACTTTTACTAAAAGTCAGTTCATAAAATGGCTAAATTACCAAAAGGCCAGTTTGCCGAATGGCCAATTCATCAAAATTTTTCAAATGTGAAACAAAATCTAGGATATATTATTGCAGTCATTTTACTGAAGCAAATTCCTTTTGCAGAACTGATTTTTTGGACAAATGGTATACTTATATAGGCAGGAAGGCCTGAGAAACCTGTATAAAATGTAAATGTTTAATCAAAATCTCTAGCTTGGCTTTAGTTTGTAAATGTTTGATCTGAACGTTTAACACTAATATAATAATCAGTAGTAGTAGTGCTGCTATTTATGTTACACATGTTCTTTATATTTTATCACAACTATTAATTAGCTACAAATTCACAAATAATTTATAGATGAAGAAACTGAGGCACAGAGAAGTCATTTTCCCTGATATTATATACCAGAACCAGGAGTCATATGAAGTCATCCAGACTTGAAGAAACAGTATCTTTGAATAGGAAGAATTACCTTGGTTTCATAAATGACATCTTGGCATCAGCAAAGAAGTTTCTATGATGAATGGAGAACATTCTGGTAGACTAATAAATTGGCATTCTGATTCTTATTTCAGGCTCAGTGTCTTTCACAGTGGTGTCTTTCCTTTACCAAAAATTTGGTCATGCTTGGGCACACTGAGTAGCACCAGCTCTTCATAAATTAGTAAAGAAATGGCACTGTGTTAGATCTCTGGACAATCAGCCACATACACTTCTCTTGGTTGACTCCCCTCTTTTGGTACATTACACTTACTCCATTCTAAGTTCATGTGTGTGTGTGTGTGTGTGTGTGTGTGTGTGTGTGTGTGTGTGTGTGTGTACATGTAATTTATCAACATAAGTGGCTTAGTAATTGAGAACATTTTAAATATTTTCCTCCATGATTACATATATACATACACACACACACAGAAGCAAAAATAAGAGACTTCAATGTGAATTTACATTATCAGTGATAACAATATGGACTTGTTATTAAAGTGGATCATATGCAAATGCATACATATATACACACATTGATAGATGATGTAATATCTGTTACAAACACTATATATACTTTCTGTGATGTCATGGTATTTTAGAGGATGTTCTCAGAAGCCAGACTTCCTACATTCAGGTCTACCTTCTGCCAGTTATTAGATATGCTACCTTAAGCAAGTTACCTAAACTTACTTTGCCTCAGTTTCTTTATCTATGCAATGGAAATAAAAATAGTGCCAATCTCACAGAGTCATATGAGGAGTCAGAGCATGTACTATATTTAAGGTATCTAGAACAACGTCAGCTACATGATAAGCACAATATAACTGTTTAATAATACTCTATGGAATATACAATAACTACAGTATATAAAGTTATGCACATTTATTAGAGTATATGAACTTATATAACAAAATATAATACATTTAATATAATGGTAAACACAAAATGTGTTACTAAAGTAGCTCTATGTTTACATAAACACATAAACAGTCTTTATAAGTGTTTGTTACAAAGGTCACAAAAACGCTAACTATAAGTAATTTAGTAAAATATTTATATGCATATAAATATGTAAAATATATGTATATGAGGATATGTGTGTGCGTGCGTGCATGTGCATGTGCATGTGCATGTGTGTGTGTATGTGTTTATGTTTAAAGAAGAGCTAAATATAAAGATCCAGGTCATAGCCCCTGTTTTATGAAATGGTTGTACAAACAGCTACAGCATATTACGGAAAATCAATATATTTTTTATCACCACTAAATGATACTCTTGCCAGCATACATTTTAATAAATACAGACAAGAGATTAAAATGTTTACATAACCAAACGTACAGTTATATAGTTTTGTAATTTAAAAAACACTGCATCAAATTATATATCGTTATAAGTGGCTTAATGATTGAGAATATTTTAAATATTTTCCTCCACCATTACATATGAAATATAATTTATCTTCACAACTCTATTCCTTATTAGAATTCAATTATCATACATTTATAAAGAGCTTTAATGAGACCAAGTTCATATATTCATTCTGTATATTCTATTCTAATTAATAATTGATTACATTATTGTTTTTATTAAAAGTTAGCAAAGGTATATGAAATATAAGCTTATGGTTCTTTTTACCAACACAGAGAGAATACTAATTACACTAGGAAGAAAATACTGAAGACTTCTAAGAGTAAGGAATCAGAAAACTTGACTGATATGATATTAAATATTTTATTCATGATTATCTTTAGACCATTCATCTAATACCTTTCCTATATGATATCTATTTTGTATGACAACCAGAAAAAACTCTCCACATTATTCAGTGTGAGCTTATTTCTTATATGACTAAAATCATGAGTCATGGCCAGCGACTCTAGTAATTCTGCCTCGTTGAAACTTAATGTTTTAATATTAGAACACTTTAACTGTAACAAATAATTTTCTTTACAGTCTTTTCCCTTTTAAACATGGCAGTTATTTTTCAAAAGCTTTGTTATTGAGCTTTAATTTCTATCTTCAGAAGTTGCTTGAAATGGAGACCCCCTAACCTGCTCCATATTTCATTTTAGTTTCCAAGTTGCAGATTTTATCTCTAAAGGATCTCTACCATGTACCTCCTGATTTCCACTGCTATTGTCCTGCCTTATTAGTTTAAAATTGTATTTTTCCATTTCCTGAACTATGTAGTAATAGTCTCCCAGTTAACTTACCCGCCTCCAATTTCTGTACACCAGTCCTGCCTAGTAACTATTGCCAAATTAAACTTCCCATTTCCGAACATATCACTTTTCTACTCATAAATTTGCAGCCTTATCCATTGCTTACTAAATAACGTGTAGGCTATTCATCAAACATTTAGGGTTTCCCATGAGACTGCTTGAAAACCACTGCCACCAATCTTCTCTTTCTGTTGATTTTTTAAAACTTATTGTGTGCTCAAATAAAATTAAAGCTTATGTTATCAGCATCTCTCCAAAATTCATCATCTCAAACCTCAGTGTGCATGAGTGTAGGTCCTGTTAAAAGTTCATATCCTCAGGTCCCACACATCAGACCTAGCATTAGAATCTTTGGGGTGGAGTCCTGCAACATATAGTTCAATGAGCTATTTAATGCTGGCTGTCTGCCCAGTCCAGTGCTGTTCAAGAAAACATTGTACAATGACAGAATTGCTCTATAATATTATCTATTCAATAAGGTAAATACTAGTCATATGTGGCTATTGAACATGTGAAATGTGGTTAGTATGACTTAAGACCTGAATTTTTAGTTTTAGTTAATTTTAATTAATGTTCAGTTAAACTTAAACATTCCCATGTGACTAGTGACTACCATATTGGGCAGTGCGTATCTGACAATCCTTTATTGTGAGATCTTGAAAATATACTCAGTCATTCACTACTAGCAATACAGTAAACACCTTAATAGATAAATTGTTTCATATATCACATCCCTTAGGGTAAAATTCTAGTCAAGCAATATAAATATATTTGCAAAGTTTTCAATGATTATCATCAAATTATCCCCCAGAAAGTTTGTTCGAGTTTAAACTCTCACCAATAGTTTATAAGAATGTCAAATGATCTCATATTGGACACAGTATTTTGTAAAATCTTTCTGAATGTGGTAAGCCTCAAATAACAAGTTAATTCATTAAAATTGTATTTTGGCTAATAAAGGAGGGTGAGTTTTTTTTATGGTTATTGACGATGCAGTGATAATTTTCAAAGATAGCTACCATGGATCCCTTCCCCTCCCCACTGTCTTTTGCATGCCACTCCTCATCAAGGAATAGTATTTCTTCTCCCCTTGAAACTAGGCTGGTTTTTTATTTGCTCTGGTCAATAGAAATGTGGCGGAAGCAATGCTGTGTCAGTCCCAGAACAACAGGGAGCTTCTACTTCCTGTCTCTTGGAAGCCAGCTGCCATATAATAAAGCTGCCAGATAAGAAGTCTGACTACACTGAGACCAGCATACTGTGAAGAAGCATAAGTCAGACAGCCACATGGAGGGAGAGTGAGAGGTCACATAAAGGAGCATAAAGGGACATCAAGGAGCCAGGTATTTAAGTGAGGTTTTCTTGGACTATCCAGCCAGATCCAGCTACCAGTTGAATGTCACTGAGTAAATGATCCTGGCCAGGAGTAACAAAATAAATCACCCAGAGGTTCTTGGCTAACTACTTAACCCATAGAATAATAAGTATTAATTCATCATTGTTGTATTAAGCTACCAAGTTTTAGGGGTGGTACATAGCAATAGAAAACTGAAAACCATCTGATTTCTGACATTTGGGGCTACACCATAGCACTCTATTTACATTGCGTTGTTTCTTAAAAACACAAATAGTTAATACTAATTTTAAGTGGATGTGTTGCAGAGTA